TTTATTTATTTAAATTAAATTTATAAATCTTAAAAATTAGCTGCACAAATTAGGGTTAACGTCTTCTAAAAAAAATTAGGGTCAACGTGATCGAACAAACAAATATTGTATATTGGTTTATTTAACTTTATATACATATAAGGCACAACGAGCTAATGGGCATGGCGATCTACTGTACAAGGACTGAAGCTAAACGTTTGATATACCAACGTTTTAGTTGAGTTGCTTATTTTCAGTTTAAGCTCTTAAGTGGCTAAAGAATTTCAGCCCTTTTTTGAGCTTAAGTGTCGTGTCAAACACAGCTTTAATCTCATCCGAGGAACCTCTTATAAAATATACTACATCCGTTCTTAAATAAATGCAACAGTTTGACTTTTACATTATTCACATGTTCTACTTTGACTACGTTTTATTTATTAATGTAATAATATTATTTTATGAAAAAAATATTGTTAAACTTGTCTCATTGTAAATTTTCATAATCTAATTTTTTTAATTTTTTTACTAATACAAAATCATTTATATTAATGGTCAAAGTTGTGTCTCGGCAAGTGTGAAAAGTTGATCGTTGCATTTATTTAAGAACGGAGGAAGTATTAAATTGGTGTTTTTACTTATGTACTTATGATTTGCCAAACTAGGTGATTTGTACTTGTATTTGAAAGATTGTGCCTCATGTCTCAACGGTTTTCTATGTTTTGTTCCCCAGAAGCTCCCACTTAGTGAAGTTGTCTAGTTTAAATGTGTGTGTTGTATAATTTCCATATATATTATTCACAATTATTATTGTCCGCATATTTAATTAGTGGGAGTCTTCTATACTTCTTTCATTATACGGAGTATTATACTTATAGCACTTTCGTTTGGGTAAGTGGTACACTATCTTCTTTTGACAATAATTCCATTTCCTTGTATTTTTTGAAGATTTCACTTGGATTATTGAAATGTTTTAGTTTGACTATTCTGTTCTCATATAATTTGGTCCCATGTGTTTAAATCTGAAATAATATGATTATTTAAGTTTTTTATTCTAGTTTGGTTTTAATTATTTATGGGAGTTATGATGTTATTCCTATTTTAAAATCGTTGAAATCTGACTTAATGTGTTTTGCACATATGGTTATCTGATATGATTGTTCCAAGTCTAGTCAAAAGGGGGAGAGAGGTTAGAAGATACTATACTCGACTGATAAGGAGAGGGGACCCAGATATCTGAATTTCATCTGTATTCTTTCTAGATTCAAAGACTGGCATGGAGCCACGGGGGCTGGTTGCTCCGTTATATGCATGCTAATGGGGCAAGTATGTTTCGCCGCTATTTGTTTTTCTATATAGGCCTTTCTATATAAATAATGCTGGAGCTCAGCAGGCTCGAAGACCCCTGGTTCTGGAAGGCACATGAGTCCGAACGCTCCCACCTCTTGATCCTCGACATCTGGTCCCTTAAAAGACGAATAAATAACTAAATTTTCTTGCATGAACTATTAAGTCTTCATTAATCTATTCTAGGAGTGTTTAATTTGAAATTCGTTATGCTTTTGCTTCTTTTTAAAAAATAGAATAGAATCAGAATCAAATTTTCAGAAGCTAGAATCCCAAAGCTTCTAAGAAACTGTTTCTCGAAGTATTTTGGATCACTTGAAAGTATTTCTATACTTTTGCCCAAATACTATAATATCTGTTTTTGCTATATAAAGGAGTAAAAACCGAAAGAAAATCAAACACTCCTAGTATACTTTAACTAGACCCAAGTCTAAAATTGATTTAGGCGAAAACATTCTTAATTTTGAATATTTCCTAAGTTTGTGTTCAGTCCTCTCGAAAAGCCACGCAAGCTTACACAATCTACGGAGTACATTTTTTTTCATACAACTCGATTGATGTTTTGAATTGAATTGCCCAAATGTGGTCTCTCTCGATCACTCGATTAGTTTCACTTATGCACTCTAGCGGGATTGTTTTTTAGCAAGTTAAATAGGTTATCTGGAACAGGGTCCATCAAAATTGGAGACCCCAATTTTTTTTTTAATATTAGTATTTGTATTACAATATAGTTATTATTATATAATATTAATACATAGTTATTTGAAATCATGTTTTTTCTATATGAACACTTGAACACAATTAATTTTGTTGAATTATGTGAGTTGTTATTATATGTGATTTATTTTTATTCATATACGAGGCATCAATTTTACATTTGGAACTGGGGTCTCCTAATTCATTAGACGGTCCTGGGTATTAACTTATCTTCCTCGGCCGAGTTGTGGACTTGAGGAGATTTACAATCAAGCGAACCAGGGGCGGACCTGATCTTTTGTCCATGAACACTCAAATTTTTGAAAATATATATATATATGTAAAATTACATATATAGAATTGATGCAATTTTATATATATTGATTTTTATGTAATATTTATTGCTCTTAACCCTATTTTTTGGGATTCTAATGTTGGAAAAGTTACATTTCCCAATTGATGCACCAAACAATATTTTTTTTGGAAAGGCACCAATTAAACAATATAATTATTCAATAGATAAAATGATTTTCAACACCCTATATTTGGTTGCAAGATCCGCCACTGAAGCAGCTCAGTATTATTACAATCAATAATCATGATGATCCCACTAATGAAATTTCTTAAATGATTTAAAGATGTTTTTAGTTAGAGTGATTTCACGAACTGGGTCATGTTTATTGTCTTTTTTTCTTCTTTTTGTTAGTTCAATTCCTTCATTGAGTTGCAGCTTGCTTTAGCTGCCGTAGCCCGCAGGCATGCAACTTCACGTTATCACGTAGCATGTGTGTATGTTCCTTTATTGGATGTAACTTACAACCATACCCTTGGCTTAATTACATACTCCCCTTATTTTAAATGAATGTGGAGTAATTATTATATTATACTCGTATATTACTTCATTGAAGCTAGTTAGGTTAAATTATTATTACTAGCTAGAACAATTTTGGTTTTACAAGGTTAATAACTTTGTAAAAATTATCTACTTTAAAGTCTTGTTAAAATTTCATCAACTACACCACAATAAGATATAATAGTTGCTAGTTATTTCTTCCTCCTTTTGACTCATGTACATAAAGTGATCACGAAATTGCAATATTTAAATTGATATAATAGTCACTTAATTTTGTAGTAATTATTCATGTAAACGTATAAATTAAAATTAAATTTGGTTCATATCAATAATCTAACTTAAACTCGATTCAATTCATCGTTTAGACCAAGACTCTGTTTATATTAAAGAGAAAATATCACTATTCCACCGGCGTCGTACAATGAACTTAGTTAAAGAGAGTCATTGAAATAGAAATTGTTCAATGTAAGATCAAAATATCGACAAAAATTCACAATATGGCTCATGTTTTTATTCCCAAATAGGACTTATTTAATTATATCAAAAGCATACATTATATTAAAACTTTTCAAAATAGGAGCGATAGTCCTATTTTGAAAATAACATAATGATAATCCTTTTTATGAACTTTGTGCTTCGGTTAGTCCTATTTAGTGAATTTTCTCATCATAAAAACGGAGTAGTATTTTATATAAGGATATCAATGGTTTATCAAATTTGTTTTCCAAAACAAATTTGATAGAGTACTATGGTTGTGTGACATATTTGAAATCAGTTCCTAATGGGATTGCTCATGACTGAGACATTAGTATTTTGTACATGGTGATGGTATGTCTATTTTAATGGAATATAATGCACACGTCACTATTATGATGATTTAAAATGTCGGATATAATTATTTCACAACTACAATTAAAACTAGAAACTATCATGAATATAATCAAATTATAGTTGTGTACAACTTAATTATATATCAATCTCAATGTAAAATTAATTTGTCAAACAAATTGGGTTTTCAAGTATCTATATAAACAAACTAATTTTAAATTATGAATGGGAACTAATATGGGATGGAGACACTAGTGTATAAAAATAGTATAGTTTGTTGGAAAGAAGGATATATAATTAAGATTACGTAACAATGCAATCCAGTATAGAGTTGAGGACAGAATGGCAATCATTGTTATAATTCAAAAAGTCATCCACAGTGGACAGCAACATATATCACCATTAAAGCTAGCTGGACCAACGCCCAAAACGTACGTCTGATCCTTAACTACATCTCTTAGAAAAACAATAATTATTAACTAATAAACAACAACAAAATATGTGTAGGGGCAGCAATCGAGTCAAGAATTTGCATTATCTAGGAGGAAAATATAAGGTAGCTTTTTTACTAAGAAATCGTATAATCTTGTCACATATATAGTTCCTTCATAAACTTCTTGCATTTCTTTCGAATTTTGAAAGGTAACACTTTATTTATGCACCTTTCAAAATTGTAACAAATGTACCTTTAACTTGGAGAATTTACATTAGTGGTAATTTAAAATGCATTTTTTATTGTAATCAAGAACTGATTTTGTTGTTTTGTTTTAAACATGGGAAGATCAGAAAAATCAAATTTTAGTTTGGCACTAACCAATATATTCTGCACGATTTTGGTTAACCATTAAGTAATTAACTTATATTGGTATTAATAAGTGAGTATAAAATTATATTCAGTTCACCTATATCACGGTATTTGTATTAGAATATTATTAACTGAAATTTCAGTTCACCGAAATTATTGTTCAACCAAAATATGGCTATTCAAAGGTGCCCACCCCTATCCACCAAACCCATAAACCAAAATGTTAATAAAACTTATCAAAGAGTTAATTAAATAGCCTCAAATTATTTAATCCATAATACTATCGAGCTTCATTCCAGCGCGCTTAAGCATCTCAAAAGTAGGTAAATTAATTATTTAGACAATAATTAAATAATGGTATTAGCTAGATTACATTTTGAGAAGTAGTGTTGATGGATATACACTATAACGAGATCATTGATGGTAACTTTGATATTATGGGTGTATTATTTTTAATGTTTGCTGATTGATTTATCATTATTTAAGACTGCCTATTAATTTCTAAAATAGAAATGGAAAGCTTTAAATAGGATGTCCAAAAGATGTAGGTGATAAACTCAAGCTGAGATGTAGAGAGTTTAAAAGCATTTCAACATAAGAAAAGAGCGTGTATACATACAGTATAATATAACCTGCTATATACATTAAAATATAATATAAACCACCATGAATCCGATGACCCAGTTCTTGAGCTGGTAGGCAGATTATAAATATGTATATATAGGTTATCAATTGTGATAAAACTTTCTTGAAATCCCAAACATCATCAAGTAATTAACTAAAGCGCCAAGAAACAGTTTGAAGCTAGCTAGGTACTTTTCTACGTGTGCTTCAATAATTCAACAATTCTTATCCGGTTCAATCAAGCCTTAGTTTTATATATTCTATGCAGTACAATTCTATTGCCCATTGAGTATAAAAGCATAAAATTTCCATATCAGTGTGAGTTCATATTCCTTTTAGTACTGTATATATATGGTAACTGCTGTTGACTTTATTCATTCTTGATTTCATGGAATCAACAAAAACATATGAAGTTATATTTGCTTTTCTGTTGTATGTGTGCGGTGATGTTTGGTTCATATGCTGATACCAAAATAAGAATCTTAATTATGGGGTCATGTAAACAGATCTAAAGTTGTCATGCATAAAATTTTCATAAAAGAGGAATATTCTTTGGCATAGTATAAATCTTATGGTCAGAGGTTTCTTTGATTAGAACTCTAGAATCATGGCTATGTTCTTTGTCGTTGTTTTGTTTTTTATATGTGTGATTCTTATGCACGTGTTTTTATGTATGTATGCATATATGTCGTGATCACGCCCGCAGATGGTTTCGTATCATCAGGCCATCATGAACATGGGCTCTGCAACAACTCAATTTGGCCAAACAAGAACGATGAACAGGTTATACGAACCGTTCCAGGAGATCAATGGGTGGGAGAAGACGCTAGGAGGGGATGTCATCCATGGGTTGAATAATAAGTGCTTGGTTACACATCAAACTGCAGGAGTGGATGATAATAAGGTATTCAAACCAGCCTTTCGAGATGACTTGAAAAGCCGTTGAAAGTGTCTGACTTTTCGCTTGATCTGATTTCCCCTTGCAGTCCGAGTACACTTCTAGTGATTCAGCTGCTGCACCTTTTGCTTTTGGGGATAATCAAGCAACACATAGCATTACAGCAGACAAGGTGCTAATGATGCCCTTTAATTCCAATGCCTCTTTGTGGTGTCTCCTTTTAAGAAGTCATACCAGTATACCGCATCAAACAAATATAGATAGCAAATAACGTATATGATTTTGGATCACTCTTCCTATAAAGTACATTTTTTTACGATAAAACTTGCATGGGCTATGTAGCCTATGACTCCTATGATTGTATTTTTTAAGCATTATTTGTAGAAAAGCATCATATGTTGGCATTGTTTATTTGATAGGTGCAGAGACGTCTAGCACAAAATCGTGAAGCTGCTAGGAAAAGTCGCCTTAGGAAAAAGGTATCACAATGTAATGTTTGATGATGTTCTTTGCTTACACGATGCATACAGGGATGGATCCGGTCCGCGGCACCAAGTCTTGGAAGGGTGTAACTGTAACCATAATCAGCTATAAACACTGGTTCCGGGTCTGTCCTGTTCTGGAAGTAACAGAAATGGACCGATTCACGGTACTGATTAAGGTTGGAACAATTATAAAGGCCAGATGCGGAACCTGGTCCATCCTTATTGAAAATCTGATATAATATGTGTGCCATCTTTGGTTCCTGTATGAGTGTATGTATGTATGTACACTTTTTGCAGGCTTATGTTCAACAGTTAGAAACGAGCCGTGTGAAGCTAACACAACTTGAGATGGAGCTCCAGCAAGCCAAGCAACAAGTAAGATTTGCATATTCGGTTGAATAAGACTTGATTTTCATCTCAAAAGGTCAATCTAAATGATCGACATGTTTTTGAATCACTTAATGAAGGGACTACATATTCTAGGCGCCACCCGTAGCATAGCAATGTGCGGAGCGATTAATCCAGGTATGCAAATATAAGCTCTGTCGATCAATCACAGCCTATCTAACACAACCAGTGATGATCAGCTAATGCTGCTAAAATATACATAAGTAGGAATTGCTGCATTTGAGATGGACTACGCACAGTGGGTAGAAGAGAGACAAATGAGAAATTCAGAGCTCAGAATTGCCTTACAGTCAAACGTGCATGACACGGAGCTGCAATTACTAGTTGACAATATCTTAAACCACTATTACTGTCTCTTCCGGATGAAAGCTGATGTTGCGAAAGCGGATATATTCTACTTAATATCAGGAATGTGGCAAACGCCAGTCGAGCGGTTTCTCCTTTGGCTCGGAGGATTCAGACCATTACAACTTATCAACGTAATAATCCTCATGTGATTTACGCTCTTTTTTTAGCAATATCACCTGCTAATCTATCTCACATCGGCAATTATAAAAAATACCTAAACTCACATGTCTTTTGGGACTAAGGCTTGGATGTTGTACCCAAACTCACATGTATAAGGTTTGATACAACTCTATACGTATAAAGTTAATGAATTGAGCCTCTTAATAACCCTCACCATATAAGGACACGGAATTTCTAACCTGATTGTTTAAGTTCAAAAGTCTATTCATACTTCATCCCTTATATGTTGGATTCAATTTATTACGGAGTATAAGATTAAAGAAAAAATGAATGTACAAGAATGCAGGTGATATTGCAGCAAATCACACCCTTGAGTGAAGAGCAGTTATTGAGTGTGTATGAACTGCAACTGAGTTGCCAACAGGCCGAGGACGCCCTCACACAAGGAATGGATAAACTGCAACAATTCCTGTCCCACAGCGTGAGGATGATAAGCCCTGGAGCAGGAAGTTACAGCACTCAATTGGTGACTGCTTTGGAGAAATTACTAACACTTGAAAGCCTAATCAACCAGGTGGACTCTCACTAGCTCTTCACACAGTAGTTTAATGTTTGATCCACAAGACTAACACAGTAGATCAAACTACAGTCACATTACTCTAGTTTGATCTCTCACTCTCGGTTCCCGAGAAGCCTCAAACACAAAACAACTGTCACTCTATTTAGGGATTTACCTTTCTAAAAACCATAACCCATGGACAAGAGCTACATTCAATACGAAAATAGACAGTCACATTGCGTGATAAAATAGAACATCATCATGGTCACCGACTCACCAGCCACCCTAAAAATATCATCCTCATCGTGCAATAAAGGGTGTTGTCTTGTCCATTACTACTACTATTATTTTAGTCATATACTCTTTATGTTTCTACATTGTATTTCTTTAATAAATGAGCATTGTTGTTCTTAAAGTACACCCCACATCAAAATTTACCCATGTATCACCATGCAATTTGTTATGAAGCAGCAGTCGGTCCATGCAATTTTGGACGCAATTTTCACTATGGGTCATCCGGAAACAGTCTCTATGTGCTTTAGTGCATGGGTAAGACTGCGTACATCCGACCCCCCTACCCCACCATAGGTGGGAGCCTTTGCGGAGGTAAATGAAAATGGGGTAAATGAAAATGAAATGAATGATGAAATGATTACCTAACATATAAGAGGTAAAGCTTATCAACTGCTCCCACCAGCCCAAATTAGTTGATGTTTTAGACAAGTCTACGAATATTACAAAATGACATTAAATGCTTCTTAGATCTTTTGAAATGCAGAATAACATTCGATATGGAAAATGTCAATGGGGGAAATATCTGAAAATCGACACAAATGCATTGAATTTGTAGAACTACAATTATTTTTGGAAAGGATGAAGTAGGTTTTAGAGTTAAGACTCATATTCCACCTCTTATATATGCTGTTGGAATTTTTCTACTACAATTTAAACGTGTTGTTTTTTCGTTCATCCAAACAGGCGGATAACCTCCGGCAGCAGACGTTGCAGCAGATGTGCCGAATTCTAACAACCAAACAAGCTGCCACGGGGCTGCTCGCATTTGGAGACTTCTACCAACGCCTCCGTGATCTGAGTTCAATCTGGGCTGCCCGTCCTTGCGAAACCTACAACTAATTATATGGCAACATAACTTCACTGCCACGCTTTTTCCCCAAATTGACTCAGCCGCGCTTAGAACATTGTAGCAAACTACATTTGCCATTGTTAGTAACTTATGCTTGTACTATGCTGTTGTTGCCCAAGCTGACATGGTAAAGGAACCCTATGTAAATTACAGAGTAAGAATGTGCTTCTTAATGTAAATAATAAACTTTACTAATTCAGAAGAAATTTCAAAATGTGCAAAAGCTTGTTGAATTTGCCTGTCTGAAGAATAAGACAATATTGGTACAAGATAAATATATTGACAACATGATGAATTTCATTCATTACAACATTCATGATTTGCAGCAATTATGATTGAATAAGTAAATTGGAAAAAGGAGAGGGAGGGGCTAATTATACGGCCAACCGAATGTCTTTGATCTCGAGCTGAGCAGCAATGTCCTGAAGCTGCTTCTTTACACTCATATCGACTAATTTGGACCCGGAATTTCCGAACCGGATTGTGAACCCGGCCACCAGAGACGGGTCAATCACGGTCTTGATTCGAACATTCTTCGCTCCGGTTAGCCGCTGAACGCCCTTCGCGATCTGTGCCAGGTGTTGCGAGTCCAGCTTCACCACCGAACTCACAATCGCCAGCTCCGTCTCCGTCGCCTGGTTGTACAAATCCTCGAACTCCTTCACGATGTCCTTTATCAGCTCCATTCGATTCATGTCCAGCAGGATGTTCAGGAAATTGACCGTGTGCGGCTGGAGCTCCGACGACTCAGCGATCTCATCGATTAGCGACCGCTTATTCTCATCGCTCATCACAGGATTGGCGAAGAAATCGAACACCGAATCGTCGGAGAAGATTTTCTCGATCTTTCCCATGTCCGCTGTGGTTTGCTCCAGAGTTCCGTTCGACATGGCGACATCGCAGAGCGCGGAAGCGTATCTTCCGGCAGCCGTGTCAGCCATTTTGGCACCAAGCACACCGCCGCCGGCGCGGCGGGAGAGTCTTCTGGAGGGAGACTTGATAGTGAACTTCGGAAGCCTCAGGCCCCCGGAGAAGGAGAGCTTTGCCGTCGGCGGGGCAAGGATTTTAGTGGACGGCAACGAGCACGAGTAGAATGTAAACGAAGTTCGTTGGAAAGCCGCCATTTCTTCTTGGGTGGGAAGATAAGACGAAGAAGGGTGGAAACTTGAAGTGACGATATGCGGAGAATAGGATTAAAGGAGTGCAAGGGACGGTGAAGATTGGGGAAAACGTACTGTTGGACGGAGGAAAAGGGGTAGCTAATCTGGTGATCCCAGAATATCCTGACATCTTATCTTGAGTGCTATGAGGAGTTCACACGTGTGTGACTGTCATTAAGCTGATGACTAATCCCTCCACATCGTTAAAATTGTCTCATTTTATTTTTTGGGTTCGTCTCAGTAAGGAGGTGTATTGTATTAGGCAGACTTGGACTCGGGCCAGGTCGGGTCCGATCGGGCCAGCGGTTCTGAATACCTGGACTCGGGACCGGCCCGGGTAGCCACCGGGTCCGGTCCGATCAGGACCGGGCCTCAGGTTTGGTTTTTTTTTTTTTGCTTACCTACCCATCCCTCAACCCCACCCCCCCAAACCCCTCCTAAACATCAAGCCCAACCCAGGTGGAGCCCAAACAAATGCAAAAAAAAAAATCAATTTGGCCTGAACTGGGCCCAGGCCCGGCCCGGCCTTGTTTTGGGTGACCCGAGCCCGGACCGGAATTACATCGGGTCGGGCCTACCTAGACCGATCACTGACCGGGCACCGGTTCGGGCCGGGCCAGAATAGTACCGGTCCCGGGCCGGTTCCGGGTTGGGCCACCCGGCACGAGTCCAAGTCTAGTATTAGGATTTAGTGGCAAAATTTAAAAAGTTCAATGGATTTTTAAAAGTTTAGGTGTATTCAATGTGGACTTTTAAAAGTTTACAAAAGTATAGGTGTATTCAATGTAGACTTTTAAAAGTCTATAAAAGTCTAGACATATTCAAAGTTCCGTTCATTCTAATGAATTTCTAAAATCATGAATTCTCATGGAGTTTTAACTCATTTTTAGTACATTAATTCTCCTCAATTGTCTCTTCTCCTCAGTAAGGATTTCTGTGGACTTTTCTTATATCGATTCTTCATCCCGTCCCACCCCATCCCTCCTCTCCTCCCCCAACTCTCCTCTTCTTTAGTCAAGCCACCTCTTCCCCTTCGATCTTTCTTCTTCTTCAGCCCAGCTCGCCCCACCCCTCTCCTTCCGTTCTTTTTCTTCTTCAACTTGCCCCACCTCACCCCCTCGATCCCCCCATAAAAAACTGACTGTTTGATTTAGCTTTGTTTGGTATACAAGCTGTTAAAACTCATTAATACTATAAGTTACTGACTTATCTGAGATGCTACTCATTGTAGCATCTCAAAAAAGATCTTTTATTTATATAAAATCTCTTAAAAATTGGAATGTCAAACATATAACTAGAAGTTTTTAAAGACTTTTTAAATAATACAAAAGCTAGAAGGTGGAGACTTATGTCTTCCAAACATAGCCTAAAACATAGCATTCTTCTTAAAGTATGATCATATGTTTGATTTTCCTTAAATAGGATTAAATATTACATATTCACCCCTAATTTAATTAATTAATATAATTAATTGTCCCTAGTTCCCTTGCATAACCAAATAGATTTTGTTGGTGGTGGATCAGTCTGATGACGACAACGGGGAACTTCGGTGACAGGGCGGATGGGCAGATCGGTAGCGGTGATCTAGGTGAAAATTTCGACGACCAGCAGTGGTGGTCCGCATTTAAAAGCCTATGGACTTTTTGAAAGTCAATAAACTTATCCATGAATTTAAAAGTCCAGAGAATTCAATCATAAAAAAATCTATGGATTTAAAAGTCCATTGACTTTTTTAAAAAGGTCACGGATTAAAAAAAGTCCACCACAATCCATATTCAATACACCCCCCTAAGATTGTCTCATACCAAATTTGATAAAATTTATATAGCTCTAAATCGATCTTAATTTATTTTTACTTTATCAATCCAATTTCAATGACATAAACTATTTTCCATTGATTTACGTGTCACTCTTTTTTGTCCCATTGTTAGTGGGCGGAGGGAATATTTGTTACGTAGTACGTAGTATTTTTTTGTTATCTCATCACGACTTCATAGAAATGTGGTTTTAGGTTAAAAGTGGGTAGAAAGTAAGAGTAATTGTGATTTTTTTTGGTTAAAAGTTGTTTTCTTTTGTAGAAATGAGAACTTTTTTTTAGGACATCCATAAAAGGAAAGTGGAAACTTCTTTACGGGACGAAGGTAGTATAAAATAAACAAAAGGATCATGTGTACTTTCCACATTCAGTTTTAGACCAAATTAAGTACAAAAACCATCCTCTTTAGTGACCGTAAACAAAAGACGTCCTGATCTTAAACAGAAAAATAAATTATGATTGTAAAATAAAAATCCGTGTGTTAAATATAACCACAACCTGATTGGCTGATATGCGTGTATGAATCATTAAAAGATCGCCATTGAAAAACAAACCCTGCTTAAATCACTTAAGAAAATCTTTCTATAATGATTAAATTATTAAAACGGAGAAAATAAAACGTCAAAATTCCAAATTTCAAAAAAAATGAGTTTCAGACTTTGTTGGGATCCCTCCTTAATTGGAGAGGTTCTAGAAAAAATCTAGAGCTTTCTAGAGAAGTATAGAATTTTATAGAACGTTGCGGAGAATCCTAGAGAAGTCTAGAACTCTCTAGAAGCTTGCGGAATAGTGTTGAATCCTCTAGAATATTCTGGAGATGTGTGGAACCTTCCGGAAGCTTATGAAAGAGTATGGAAGCATATGGAAGGGAATGGAGAGGTGTGAGATTCCTTGGATTTCTCTAGAATAGGTAGTCATGTGTAGATCATTCTAGAGAACTATTCTTCACCACTCATTATGGAGGTGGAGTAGTATGAATAGGAGTAGGAGCCTTTATTCCTAACCATCCTAGCAATCCTAGCCAAGAGTGAATCCACTTCTTAGAGTGAGAAAGTTAGAGAGCCTCTTTGAGATAGAAGAGAGATAGCTTGGGAAGTTCCTATCCTCAAGCTTGAGTGAGCCACCATTGAGTGAGACAATTTTGTAACATCCTTGTAAATCCTACTATTCTTTTGTATAGTGGAAGAACATCCATATTGGAGAATTTAAATCGTGTGCTCCCGTTACTACTTTAATTCCTAAGTGCCTATCTTAACTTCACGAAGCGGGAAAAGTCCGGAATTTTTCCCAACATACTTATATAGATCACAAACTTCTGATTTTATGAAAGGATTATATGGTGTACTTCCCATTATAAAATGTGAGGAAAAAAAGGATGACACCCCATCCCTGAGGGCCCCCCAACCCCGACCGGACGGTACGTTGGGAGGATGTAAGTTGGACTATAATCCCAATCTCACAGATAGAGAGTGGGGCTCTGTCCCCCTCATCGCAGTTGTCGGGATTCGAACCCGGGACCTAACCCTTGTGGCACTCCCTTCCTACCAGTTGAGCTACGCCCACCGGTAAAAATGTGAGAAAGTATTACTCTATAAGCTTGATGTGCTGCGTAGTTAAGTTCCTCGGTCGGAGGGCCGAATTGTCCACCTCATAAATAGGTGCCTAGATATCATACATCAGCTACAACATAACTTGCCAAATATACGAGAGTTCTTTTAAAATGCAACAAGGTGCATGATAAATGGCATGGCAATGGGTCGGGTCGGGGCGGGGCGGGTACTGCAAGACCCAGACCCGCCCCATGACTTGACGGGGCGGGTCCGTCCTGCCTCGTGACCTGCACGGGTCCAAACTTGTTGACACATCACCCACCCCATGCAGGGTGGGTCCACCCCGCCCCGCCGTAACCTAATTAACTAGTATGTATTTTTATTTGTGAGAAGTTATTACCAATTGAATCTACATAAAGTTTATCTTTAAATAATTATCAAAAATTAATATATTAAATCAATTTCACGATACGCTAGAAATTTCAAAAGTAAAGGAAAAATCATTTAAACTTGAATAGTTAATCTATTTAATTATATTAATACTTGAATATATGTATTAAAATGCTATATATAAAGAAGACATTGATAATCTATCGTTCATCTCAATCTAATATATATATAGGGGTGAGATCACATACAAACCATGATTAACTTACTAACCTACAAATTCAATAATATGCAACACTCACTACAAACAAATTGCCTTTTACCAACAGTAATAAAAACGTTGGTATAGATATAAAATGTGTTGGTATAGACATCAATTAGCTATACCAACGGAAATACTAGCTATTCCCATAGAAACTTTATCGTCATTATACGTTACGTCGGTATAAACCAACACCAACATATTATTTACCTGTGGGAATAGCTTATAAACTTGTACCAACAAATCAATGACCGTTAGTAATTACATTTACCGTAAGTATAGACGTGTAATAGTTTTACATAACTTTTTGCTATAGCAACGGTTAATATACTATTGCTATTGTCCTGTTATATGAAGCAATAATAATTACTTGATATTTACAAACACAAACACAACATATCCAAAATAAAATTATAATTTGCAATAAAAAATAAAAACATCATTCAATGTATTTTTCATAATAACACCAATCTTCTTTATATGGTGAACAATATCTATACTCAACCAATATAATATCAAGTACTAATACTGAATTTGTTGATAAAATATAAATCCAAGTCAAGTCTTTTACAATCCAAGTCAAGCCATTATTTGAATGCAATTATGTTTGCATTTGAAATAGAACACTTTGAGCAGTTTGCTAATTCCCAGGTTCCATGTCCGGTTTTTGTTCATCGTTAGAACACTCGGAATGCAAAACTTGTTATATATTGAATCAAATCTTGAAAACCTACAAAATACACAAATATATTCAGTTCAATGTGCTCCACATATATTGGCTAACATGAACATATCACAGAAACTAAATTTAACTAATCTTGAACATATATTCAGTTCAATGTGATATATTTAACTAAATTTCAAACACATGCCTTTCTTGACACTTAATTTTCGTATTTTTCTTGGAAAAACATTAATTAAATATAATGAAAGTTAACACCTTTTGTTCACTTTGGACTTCTATATTTTGGGACAAAAAATTTACAAAGACGAGTTTTTTGGATGGAGGAAGTGCAAATACAACAACATAACACCCAAATCCTCAATTGTTTACACCTATACGATGCAACAACATTCATGATTTCCTTAAACCGTACTCACATTTAACAGATGAAACATA